TTTACTTTGTTCCCTTGTTCCCTTCAAAAATTTTGACGTGTTCCCTTGTTCTTATTTGAAATTCGTAATTACACTATACACTCTAATTATAATCTAAATTATTACTTTCTTGACGTGTTTTAAAATAAACTAAATGTATGGTTAATAATAATAATAAAATTTATTCAATAATTATTACAGACATTCATGTCATTGTCCAACGAATAAACAATAAAGTATCATAAATGTTAATAATAAATAAAATCATCCCCGTTTGGTCTTTTCCTTCCACGCCTTGGCCTCTTATTTGTTGAACATTCTGGAGCATCATCAAGGCACTCTCTAACCTCTCTCGCTTCATTAATCGTCACTGCGTCAACGCATTCAATCAAGCACGATTGATACTTTAGAAACGCATTCTCTGTCAGTTCAAGGTTGCCACCTTCCGTAACAGTTTTCTCTATGGATCCAGATATGTCTTTCACATTGACCTCGACAATTCCTTCTTCACTAAACAAAAGAGGATTGAAAGGGTCACTTTCAAAATAAGTGGCATTTGTTTTCTTTGTTGAAGCATTTACGTTTTCGTGTAACATGTATAACATCATACGGCCAGAATTAATGTCAGACGCAAGAAAAACAACGTTTCCGGTGATATAGAGACAAGTGTCACCACTGTCACTGCTGTGTCCATGATCGTGAGAAGTAACTGTTTCGGCATCATTTTCTGCAATTTTTGAGAAATCCAAAGGCTCGCTTGTTGGTTCGGCTTGCGCATAGAGATTTATCGGCAGACTACCAGGGTTGTCCTTAGTACTCATGTTCCGCACAGTCTTTTGTGGGACACTTTGGCCATACTTCATGCGCCAGTTTCTCATTTGCTGCTCCTGTGGCTTTGTCAACTTTGTTGATGAAGGAGGAGCCACCTTAGGCAGGGTTGAATATGGCAAATCAGACTTGACTCTTGGGTAGTGGGACTTTGCACTGGTATAGTAAGAAAATTTGGTTTTGCACATCTGCTTCAAGTGTTCCTTCATCGCCCGACTGAACCGGAAGTCAAATTGCAGTTGCATTGGCATATCATATGCTCCTGCCCTCATTTCAGAGAAAAAATTTTCCACTACAAGCGTCAAGAGGCTTTTAAGTTTAAACACTTTCAAAAGTTCTGGTGCATAGTTTTTAAAAATGTCTCGAATTTCTCTCAAAGCCAGCAAGATTCGCCTTTCGTCTTCTAGAACGACGGACGAAACAGTTCCCTGCGTACCTTGGGTCTGGGCCTCCTTTCCCAAGAATGCTTTGACTTTATTTACAAATAATCCATCTTTCATTACTGGCATGCACACCTGGGTATCTTTCTTCCATTTCTATTAATTAGAGCAACATGAATTGTAGAAACATTTTAAACTAGGATCAATGAAAATGGTAACATTTTAATTACTAATGATAACATTACAATATAGACAAATGGTCACATATATAGTTTAATCATAACATCCAAAGTAATAAGACACTCCTACCAGTTTTGAATCTTAGCCATTTCTGTTCTTGCCATTCTGTCCTGTTAACCTGAGTGATGTGCTTCTCACTGAGAGACTTGAATAACTGCTCATCCAGTTGCCTGTGTGTATCCTCCTTCCGAACCTTCTTGCTATGGCTACTTGATTTAGGGTCTTTACTTGACTTGTCTTTGTTAGACTCTAATGATGTGCTAACATCATTAATGGTGTTGGAAGTCAAATTTGCATGTATCAGTTCAATTTCATATACTTTTACTGAAACAGAAATGAAAAAATTATTGCATTTCAATTGAGTATTTATCAACTATATAATCTAGAATACTTAAAGTGTTCAACAGCAAAGATGAAATTAATTAAAATGTTATTTGTAGTTTGTTTTAACACTTTAAAATAAAAAAGACAAAGGAGTATATGAAATTAAAAAATTATCCACAACATATAATAGAATACTTTGGAATTTACTTGGAATTTAGTATTGTCTTCACTTACTTATCAATTCTCGCTCTCGGTTTAGCAGTCTTTTTAAGGCAGGCTGCCATTGTTCCTGAGAATCCAATTCAAATATTCTCCCTTTTGGAAATTCTGGCATGGACGTAAAGTCTTTTACACTTAGTGAGATCCTGAACTTTCGAATTTTAAGTTCTGTGCATCGCTTGGCGATTCCAAAGCCTTTTTTAATTCTTTCAACAAGTTCATGAAAGTCTCGATCGCTTTGGGCGCCAACTGCCAATTCAAATGACCACTGCATTGAAGGTTTTACCACGCCATTATGGTAAATTGCAGCAGTGACTGGCAACAATATGCGGTCAGCGTGTTTTTCTTCTTCCAGATTGCTCATATTTGAATGTCCATCCATATACAAATTTCTAATATCTTGATTTACCCGAGCAGAGTCGACCAAATTCTGATAAATCCGTGGCAGATTTTTGCCCCATTTATAGCAAAAAATTGCTGAATATATTGCAAACTACTTATATATTCGCGTCTCGTGTTTTGTATAAATGTCATACTCAGTGTACATAACAGTAAACGTTGCTTGCAGGCTCACATCAGGAAAATAGTAAATACTTCATGTTTATCACTGCTGAAGACGCACATGACGCCTGGAAAGATAAAAAAATATTAATTTATATGGAACTGTGGCAACTTCAGGCCCTTTTAATTTAAAATTCTGTAGCAATTCCCAATTTTTCCGAAAATATAGACTGTGCTCCCCTGTTCCCCTGTTCCTCACTAGATTTCTCGTTCCCTTTCTCCCCATCATTTTTATGTCCTGTTCCCGTGTTCCCACTACAAAATCTATCGTTTTCCCTTGTTCCCCAAATACCCCTGGGAGACCCTCATAATTGGCAGAAAGAAAGAAAAACACGTAAGTATTAAACCGAACTAGCCCGAACTAGCAAAACAAACTATTTAACAAAGCCTGAATTCGTACACTACAACTATAGACTATGCACTAGAACTATAGATTATACACTACAACTATAAACTATACAAAATTAAATAATACAATCTCATAATTTCTACTTACAATTTGGCCTGCTGTATGTACTGAAGGTTATATATTTTAATTAATTAAATAATATATGATATACCAGTCCCTGATTATTATTGTTGATTTTATTATATTAGGACTATTCATATCTTATTAAGTGGGCTGGATGGCCTCTAGATGGGTGTACTTGGGAGCCTTCTGCTCATTTACCTGAGAGCTTATTAAGGTAAATATAACACTGACACCAGCTCTTCATCCTTGATTAGTAAAATTGTCTAGTGTTAGAATGAAATGAAATACTCTGGCATTAGACAGGGTAAAATACTAAAGTAAGGAGCATCTGGGCGCATTTTAACTTAATGGATAAACTACACACATTGGCATGCAGACATGCAACTTAACCAATTACCAACGCTTTCCCCTTGCTAGGTAAAATTGTCTGGCATTAGACATAGTAAAATACTCAGGCATTCAACAGAGTAAAATGTTATAAGTAGGGTGCATCATGAGCTGCAATGTGACTAAATGGATTAAACCATTATGCTATACAAGTAAAATTATCTGAGTAAATATTAAAGAAGGTTGCATTGATGCATTGGTGCAACTCAACTCAACATGCTTCTGAAAAATCTACTTCTCATGATATATATGTGAGCTAATTTATTCTGTTATATTTTTTTGAAGGGGTTATGACCGTCCGCCAAAACCATCTTTAAGCAGACTAGAATCAACTGCTAGAGCATTTGCTTGTGGTATTCTGCACCTTTTAAAATCAAAGGCAATGGGTTGTGGATACATTGACCTTGATCTTGATTGTTGGCGATACATCACCCAAGGGAAAGGAACACCATCAGAACACAGGGGACATGTTCTTTATAATAAGAGTGATTTTAGTCGCCTTCCAATGCTACCTCCTGACTGGTGGTATTATTTTAATCAACATGGGGAGGGGAAGAAAGTTGATTTTCCCATGAAGATCAAACCCATAATTGGTTGGTCATCAAAGAAGTATGTCTTCAATGGAAAGAAAATTGTACCAGGAAAAAGGTTTCCAATTGAAAAAATAAGTGTTTCCTTTGCACGGGTACCTTGTAATGAAAAAAATTATTGTATATAGGTTCAGTACATAACATAAATACATAATAATATTAACAGAATAATAATAACTTATAATAACATGATGAATATTTCAGCTTCACTTTAGAACTTAATTTAATTTTTGTGGAGTGCTTGCTTCAAAATATCCTGTAATTTCTCCAGTTTTCGTACTCGTGTTTGCACTCCTAATTCCTTCAGTTTCTCCTTAATTTCAACAACGGAAAGATTTTCGATATCAATGACGCTTTCGGAAGTGCTCTCTGGTATTTCAGCATTCGGGACAGGTGACAGCTTTCTTCTTTTTCTTCTGCTTTCTTTAATTTCAGTCGACCAGTACTCAGCGTTTGACTTGCTGTACGGTCTATGCATGCGCTCATGTTGGCCAGTTATCTGCAGTCGTTTAGTAACAAGTAGGATATCTTTCGGAGCATCCCACTTGTTTGACTTTGTCAGATGAAATTTTCTCACATCGTCATTATTCTTTTCCACTCCTGGATATGTAAAGAAAAATATATAGTACAAAATTTACTGTTGTAAGTGCTTATCAGCATACGCATGTACAATTCTTACTTATACTCTGATATTACCTTGTCCTGTAAACTTTTTTATGCCGTTGTGTCTCCGCATGAAGTTTGGGACGTGGTATACCAGACAGTGCATGTAAGGAGTAACTTGCTGTTTGCCAAACCCGTTGACTTCCCCGCCAAGCGAAACAAATAGATTTACCCACGCTTTAGCCTAAATGAATAAAACAATGGGACTGGATCGTCAAAAAGGAACACAAATTACAATTTAGCAATTTCAGTCTGATACAGCTTAAAAGGTATTTCTTGTTATACTAGTAGTTAAGCGCTATAAATACATGTTGGAGTACTTAGTCTTAGTGGTGCCACTTACACGTTCAAAGAACTCATTAATTCTTTCAGGTGTGGGATCATGCTCATTCAGCATTTGATAAATCGTATTAAAGTCCTAAAATTAAAGGAGTTGGTCAGGTGTTTTACTTTTGCTGCTCGCGTATTTAAAATCGATGTGCATTGGGATATTACCTTCCAGATCTTAGTGACTGACTCACTGTGGGCTGGTTTAGTTACTGTACATAATTTATCTGGGAGATCTCTCATGAGCCGTTTCTTGTCCGATCCCATAAGGCTGGTAAAGTCGTGTACACCACTTCCCTTTCCATCAGCATTCCTTTTCTCCCAAACATTGAAAGACACGCCACACGACTGGATACACTCAACAAGGTCTGACAGATGTTTACTTGTTCTATCCTTTGGTGGTTTATTGCTGTTGTCTTTAAAGTCCCATTCAAGAGCTTCATTAACTAAACTCTTTGTCAAGATATCTAAAAAATTTTAATAATCAAGTAAAATGTGATTATATCTAATATGCACGATAAACGTGACCAAGGTGAAGGTATGTAGATTCGTGCATATTGGCATCTAGTTCCAAAACCGCATATCTCGATTATAACTTTATTAATGGCAAACTTTAGACAAAGTCAAAGAGAAGCCATTGCCACAGCAAGTCGATTCCTTTGCGCGCCCTGTTGCTCAAGGGCAAAGAACGACGAAGGCTAAGCGAAAGTTGGAGCAAGAGTTGCAACAAAATGAACCAACAAAAAAAAAGAGTAAAAATAAAAATAAAAGAAAGCGCAAGCCCAGTTCCGGCAAAAAGAAGACCAAGTGGTCTCTGGAAGAAATGGAAGCGAGCCGTGCAGACACTGATCCCTGTGCTTCTGACTCGGATGGCTGTGTATAGCTGGCCTATGTGTCTTTACATTGTAATTTGTAACTATTATATATGTGTGCATTAATTGTAATTTGTAACTATATGTGTTCTAATTTAATTACTACATGATTTTACTTGCAAAGGAGTGTAAACTGGCCATTCATGGGTCAACTGGCCTAAATGCCTGTGTCTATAGGTAACCAGTTGAGTTGCAATGCACCTTGGTGCACTCCACTTAACTTTATTATTTGCTGGTGCTTAATTGATTGAACAAATCATACTCACCTGTAATGCGAAGCATTAAATGTAGTTCATCTAATACTACATTTTCAAGTTTCACTTCAAGTAATGGCTTGTGTTGGCATGAAAACCGATTCTTTACGGCACAGTCTTGTATGTCCTTGAGTGAGCGACAGTCATGATTTTCCCAGAAATCCATTGGTTTAGACATGTCCCATCTAAAATCAGATTATAATGCTTTTGTGAATCTGAATCATTTACAGCTATTTATTTATTGATATTTGAATTAGAATGATGTATTTAAACACTATGATTTTGATTCACAGAAGCATTAGTGCAGACAGATATTATTAAGTCTAATTTCCTACTGTTCCAATACCATGCATTTATTTGTACATACCTCAACAATTTGTGTATTTTACACCAAATACCATAATCTGAGGTGGCCCCTTGGAAACCCAGTATCAACAACAGAAACTAAAAAGAAATATATACATGTTATGTATATGTATATATGGATTTAATATTGATATAAAAAAAAAAATGAGTTGAAAAACTGCTGTCATCATTAAACCAAATAGTACAATGAACTTTTTAAGAATGGTCCTGTTATTAGGTATTCTTTCATATGCTTGCTTACTGAGGTACTGCATGTGCTCAGATCAGTACCCAAGCACAGTGGCAAATTGTTATCTATGCAAATATTACCTTGTAATCACCTCCAACAAATATTTCAATAGGTACATTTTTATTCTTGATTTTAATTTTCCCTGCCCTTACCAACTTGTTGATGTCATTAAAAATCTTTGAACATGATATCTTTAAAAGATCATAGTCCTCATGACCCTTAACAACAGCCACTGTATGATTCCCTACATGATAATTACAAGGAAAACAGTAGCCTATTATATACTAAAGACAAAGTTGACAAAATTGTCCAGCAAATAATACCCTTTGATGACATCACAGTATCTTCGGCATTCAATATTGAAAAGCTGATGATTATAAAATTGGTCAATCTAGTCATCTTTGCCCCATCACCACTGATTTTTACTTTTATTACAGTGTCTCTTAGTTTCTCATTTGCCTCCATCTGAGAATTAAAATACATGTGGCATATGACAAAATTTCTTAACCATTATCTTAAAAATAGGCAGTTATATAGCCAGCCTGAGTTTGCAATGCCCTCTTCTTGTCTGGACTATGCAGTTTATAATTGCCCTGAATATATTATTCAAAATAGAGCAACGTTGATTACAGTTGAAAACTTACCATTTTTCAATAACAGTGCATAATTCGTCCTGGAAATTAAAAGCAGCCCCATTTGCTTCCCCAGGGGTCCTTTCAATACAAGAGAGCTTATTTAGATCCTCTTTGCATTGCTTAATCAGGTAGGACCTAGGAAGTTCTTCTCCTCCTGGACAACAAGTTAATTCGTGGTATGCTGCTTCCCCAATACAAAATTTGTCCATAATGTGCAACACCTGCTGCATTTCCACCTGTTCTTGATTTGGAAGTTCATTAAAGGATTTTGATTGCTTTTCTGACGCAATTGTTAAACCATGTTCTTTTCCCAAATCGTCAACCAATTTTACACTCTTCAAATGAAGCCCAAAAGATGCAATGAACCAAAGCGCTTGCTCCGTTCTAGTAGCTAACGTTTGAAGCTTGCGTTGCTGGCGCTTCCCAACTTCCAAAAATTCATTCCCTTATTTTCAAATCTTTTTTGTACAGTAAGTTTCTCAATTGCATTGTACAATTTGCCATTCTCCGTTTTCAATTTCTCAATGTCAACAGTGGCCTTGACGATCTTCTTTTGGAATCGATCCACCAGTGTGGATGCCTCTTTACATTTTATGCTTAATATATTATTTTCCCTAGTAATCGACTCATTTACCCGTTGAAGTTTCGAAACTTCGTCCTAAATCATTTACCAAGGCAACAGTACTAAGTTCACTACGAAATACCGCAACACTCTTACGTTTGTAAACAGCTCTTGCCGACTTCCCCCATGTATACAATAAAGCTGTTTTGCTACCTTTGTACAGTTTACTCGCAGACGTTCTTCAATCCTTATACAGTTCTCCTGAATTTGAGCGTACTGTTTGCCAATAAATGCGTTCAGTATTTGTATGTATGTATAGTCAGCTAATGTTGATTTCTTTATATTGTACCAACTGCTAAGCTGTTCGAACGGTATATGAACAGTAAAGGCAATTTGTTCGTCTTCGACTTCGATATCTACATCGGATTTTTTAATCAAATTTGGGCAATGCTTGCTATCAACAACTATTTCACTTTTAAATTTTGAATTAGAATAAACACTGAGGGCGTTTGCCATAAATTAGCATTATATTTGCATGTCACTGTCTCAGGAGAGAAGTCTTGAGTAGAATTCTAATTTACCGCTATATTGCGCGATTCGGTGTTCACGATGTTTCGTCGCAGTTGTTGACATGGTAACGAGACAGGAAGTAAATATGCAAACGCATTGTATGCTGATCAGTAACATCGCCTTGTCGCAAAATGCACTGTATATGAAAGCGCTGTTTCTGAGCGTTATTTTGATGTATTGCTCGATGGATTTCGCCAAGTATAAAGCTTTAAACTTTGCGTTCAAAGACAGGTAATTTGAGTTTCGGCTTTCACAATTACATTCGCAAAGTAACTGTGTCTGAAAGTGTAAAACATCGCTGCTTCAGGAACAAAATGGACCTGGCCGACAATGCATATTTTAACAAATGAAAGCCTTGATGTGTAGTATAATAATCAAACTTCTAATTGTATACGGCACAAATGGAAAAGCGGTGCTAAGTAACTTGTTTGAGACGCTTTCATATCATGAAATGCGGGATTTTCTGTAAATTTTTATTAGGTTAGTAAGCAATCGTATTCCATGTTTCACGTTCGGATTGGACCTCGTATTTACTACACAACAATATTACAGATTTAGTCCTATGTGTCTATTTGGGTGTGAAAGGCAACGCATGAACAGAACAAATTGAAAATATTTTATAGGTAGACTTCTATTGCACTTCTTCTAAACAGTTACTAATAATTTCATATTATTGCCCGACGCCATATTTGGCTGCGCGTACGCTTGCGCAATGCGCATGTCGCCATTTTCTTGCTATGATTTTGATTTTCGTTAGCACATGCATGAAACTTGAATGCACACATCCTTATACAAAATTGGTCTTTATTTTACAATAGTTTAGATAGTTATAAGATAATAAGTTATAACACTGAAGAACTGTCTTCCTCTACAAATGCAACAAAGTCCTCATCAACAAATGCCCTCCTAATTTGTAAGCACATGCTGGCAAGGGATATCTTCTGTTTCCAAGATGTCCATAGGTACACCATCCATACAAATGATTTGTATGCTGTGCTTCTGAAGAATCTATAGATAATTATCCAGTTAGGCCATTAGATATAAGGCCATAATTGTGTATTCAAGTAAAACACTGACTTATGCGGAAATCGATGTTGTAGAATACAATTAATACCAATATAACAGTAGCCTGCAAGTGCAATTAACAAAGTATATCATTTGTTCAGTGAAATATAGAATGGAGGTTTATTTACCTTTCGTGTGTACTTGTTTGCCGATACTCCTGCTTCTTTTGTGTACAATTTAGCTGCTGCTAAATGTACGGCCCAGGTGTCCAGACACAGACTATTGAAACCAGGATGCTTGGTTATACATGTTGGCAATTCGTCAACATCTAGATTTTGCAGCACAATATTGCTACCTAATGAATCAACGCACTCTTCAATCTCTGTACAGCATTGGCACTTTTTAGTGTTATGTAAAAGTTCAAAGTGACAATTGTCACATTTGCACCTGAAATAATGTACAATAGTTTGAATACCATATTTACAAAGTGTAACGTATATGCCAGGGCAAGGGTCACGCAATACAAGTCACGCAACCAAAGTCAAAACATTTTTATCAGCCTCCTATTTGCTCATTTTTTCACCATTTGGTATTAAAATCATGTCATTCGATAGATAAAAGCCTAACCTTTCGGATTGTGAAAAAATTGCGTTAATAGGACGAGTAGTTCACGTACAATAGCGCGCCAAAGTTGGATTACCTTTTTTTTGATACACCCTGTATACATATAACATATAACATATATACATATATACATAATACATATATACATATATACATATATACATATATACATATATACATATATACATATATACATATATACATATACATATATACATAATACATATATACATATATACATATATACATATACATATATACATATATACATATATACATAATACATATATACATATATACATATATACATATATACATAATACATATATACATATATACATATATACATATATACATATAACATATACATATATACATATACATATATACATATATACATATATACATATACATATATACATATACATACAGGGTGTATCAAAAAAAAGGTAATCCAACTTCAACGCGCTATTGTACGTGAACTACTCAGTCTATGAACGAAATTTTTTCACATTCGGAAAGATCAGGCTTTTAGCTATCGGATGTCATGGTTTTAATGCCAAATGGAGAAAAAATGAGCACATACGAGGCTGATAAAAAATGTTAGTCACAATCGCATATTTTCACCTCTGAGCCTAATTAAAGCAGTGCATAACAAAAGAAAAAACAATTAATCACGAACATGTCACAGCTTGCACTGGTTTTACAACTTGTTTATTGCAAATTATTTACATTTACACTTTAAAGAGATTATGCGCCAATGCCTTCAACGTGACCACCATCTCTATCGATACAGAGTTGACATCGCCGCCGCATTGCTTGGAATGTTCTCCTGATTAGCGCAGGATTATCTCTCAACGCTTCAACTTCATGTTGAATGCGATTCCGCAAATCATTTAGATCATGTGGTGGGCTTGTGTACACTTTATTCTTTAGGTAACCCCAAAGAAAGAAATCGCAAGGAGTAAGGTCAGGGGATCTTGGTGGCCATTCTACGTCATGGTGGAGGGCAATCACGCGATGACCAAACAGTTCTCTTAACCGATCGCGGACTGCAATTAAACGATGTGCTGGCGCACCGTCTTGCACCCACCAGAGATTTCGGAATGCCCCTCAATTTGCCTCCGAAAATGTTGCTGGAGTTGTGGCACCACGTCGTTGTTTATCATTTGGAGATAAATTTGTCCAGTGACATTTCTTTCAAAGAAAAATGGACCAATTATCTGGCCGCTGCCACAAAGTCTAATCCAAACCGTCAATTTTTCGCGACTGATGTTGACCTCATAGTTGAACTCGGGCGGTTGTCCTGCTGCGGCATACTCTCTAACGTTGTGGGAGTTTACTTGGCCGTTCATGGCAAATGCAGCTTCATCTCCAATAACGAATGGCCGAAG